ACCCTCATCAACTATATCAACTATAAAAATCATCAAAAATAAAAACAATTTTCTAAAAAAAAAACCCCTAATCTTTCATAAGAGAACAAAATAATATAATCAAAGAATCATAATACCCTTGGACTTAGAAAGTAATAACATTTCTATATATTTCCTGAAAAGAAACAGCAACTATAAAAAGGTACAGATTCTTCTGTTATATATAACAGAGAAAAACTTGGGATTATCTAACTGTTCAAAAATAGGACAGTATGCCAGTCTACTTGAGGGCTGGGGATGGGCTAGTCTAGGCTAGGTTGTAGAACCTGCTGGTGAACACCAAAACTGGGGGCAGGCCATCTTAGACTAGGCCACAGCATCTGCTGCCACACGCAAGACTTGGGTTTGGGAGCAGGACTGGAAGGGGAACTTTGGAGGCTCTCTTGCTGGGCTATTGCTTTCATTGGTGAGTGAGAGAGCTGGGACTGAGGGCAGGCCAGGCTCAGCTAGGCTGCTATACATACTGGCAAGTGCTGAGATGGGTGTGAACCACGTAGGGCTGGACTGCAGTACCCCCAGCAGGTGAAAGGCCTGGGGTTGAGAGCTGGCCTGCAAGGGGAACTATGGGTACTTCACTGCTGACCTGAAGCTTCTGCTGGTGAGCCAGGATAGGGAAGGGCCAGGCTGGTCAAGGCAGTAGCACCCACTGATATACATGTGGGGTTGAGCTGAGCTAAGCTGCAGCACCAGTGGTATGCATGAGAGCAGGATGGGATGTGGGCTGGTCCAGGCTAGGTTACAGCACATGCAGGCACACACAAAACCAGGGCTGGGAGTTGGCCTGGTGCGTTATTAAATGTTGACTCAACTAGGCTATGTTACCTACTGGTGTGTGTGTGAAGACTGAGCCTCCTTAGTAATAACACCTGCATCCAAGGTGGCTACATCCACTGGCTCACTCCCTAACCCTACGACAGTGAAGGGTAGGCTGAGCCAAGGTCAGGAGTCCAGGGCACAATCTGGGTCTCCTACTCGAGTTGTGAGGGCTCAGGGAGCTCAGTCATCACTCACCGCCTTCTAGAGCGTGCGATGACAGGAGGCTGGGATGAAAAGCAGACTCCAACCAGTGCACTTCAGTATAGGATTAAGGTGTCCCCACTTAATCCTACACTGTCCAAACATCTGCCCTAGCAATGGTACGTTCTGACTTCATGTTCGTGAGAAGTGATGCGTACTTCCAGAAGATCATAAATGAATGAATGGGTACTGAACTTAAAAAAAGTACTGAGTGGTGGACAATAATAAAAATATCAACACACAATTTGATAAGAGAAAAAAGTCAGCCACAACAATTCACTTTGTCTAATATCTGTTCCAGAAAGCTCCACAAACCACATCCATCACTTAGCTTGGCCTAAACAAGGCGAACGTGGTGAAACAAAGCTTCCCACAGGTGACCTCTTCCTCCCTTTCAGAGAGCTATTTGCCACCTTTACAAGTCAGAGCCATAAATCTCCCCAAAAAGGTAATTCTCTAGCATGTTTCCCAGCTGATCTCGCACGGGATAAAACACGGGCCTCACAGTGTCAGCTCAAGTGACACAGATTTATTTACGTTTATTGGAAAGGAAGGATTTACACAGAGAAGGAGACAGAGACAGAAAGATCTTCTCTCCATCGATTTACTCCCCAAGTGGCCACAATGGGCACAGGTGGGCCGATCCGAAGCCAGGGTCCAGGGGCTTCCTCAGGGTCTCCCACGTGGGTAGAGTCCCAAGACCTCGGGCCGTCCTCTACTGCTTTCCAGGGCCACAAGCAGGGAGGTGGATGGGAAGTAAAGCAGTCAGGACATGAACTGGCACCCATACAGGATCCTGGCATATGCAAGGCGAGGATTTAGCACTAGGCTACCGTGCCGGGCCCAGATCCCTTCCTTTTAAAACCACCCTGTGCTCGGGACACCATGAGGATCCAGTAACAGCGACAGAGCCTGGCTGGAGCAACCTCATCCAGAGGTAACAGCACTCTGAGGGATTGCTTTTTTATTAAGATATGGTGAGTAGGGCCCGGAGTGATAGCGTAGTGGATAGGGTCCTCGCTTTGCATGCACCGGGATTCCATGTGGTCACCTGCTCTGGTCTTGACGGTCCCTGCTTCCCATCCAGCTTCCTGCTTGTGGCCTAAGAAAGCAGTTGAGGATGGCCCAAGGCCTTGGGACCCTGCACCTGCGGGAGAGACCTGGAAAACGTTCCTGGCTCTTGGCTTCGGATCAGCACAGCACCGGCCATTGCGCTCACTTGGGGAGTGAATCATCAGACAAAAGATATTCCTTTCTGTCTCTCCTCCTCTCTGTATATTTGCCTTTCCAATAAAAATAAATAAGTCTTAAAAAAAAAAAAAAGATACGGCGAATAACCACTGCAGGTAGCAGGCATGCACTAGATTCCTTCGGCAAAAACTAATTGTTGCTTCATTGAGGAAATGTTAGTTTTTCTATTCCTCCCTACTGTCTTATTGGCAGGTAAAAACAGAAAATCTCTGAACTAGTCCAAGCCTCTCTCAGGCGATCTGACACAGTCTCTGCTCCAGACCTCACATAACAGAGTATAAAACAGCAGATTCAGTATTGTCTCCACATACGTGCCCTGTGTGGTGTAAGCCAGGGCAATCTGGGGTCAAGCTGCGGCGTGCTCACTGCACATCTGTGTGAACCAAGGAGTCCCTGAACTTCCCAAGGCTCTGGCCATCACAGATGTGGCGAAGATAAGAAAAGTTATCTTTCCTTGAACGGTTAGAATTAAATCAGAAAGTACATTTAAAGTGCCTGGCATACAGTAAGCAGTCAGGAGCTTCATCCAGGTCACCCCCAATGGGCCCCTGGGCCATCTTCCACTGCTTTTCTCAGGCCATCAGCAAGGTGCCTGATTGGAAGCAGAGTGGCCAGGACACAAACTGGCGACCATATGGGATGCTGAATCATTTAACAAATTATTTTTGAGATACTCATTAGGCTGGCAGTGTGCCCAGCATTCACTGACCTAAAAGCAATAAAGCTCTTCCTGTTGCCAAGTTGTTTACAGATGTATTCTTTTTGTATAAAGCTCATCTCATAAGCTAGATTTTAGAAGTAAATTTTCAATGTTGGCTGTACTTACAACTAACTTGAATCATTTGTATCTTTAAAATATATGAAGGCAGGTAAACTGGAGGTTAGTGATAAAACAGGTAATGCAGAAGCATCAACTGGCTATTGAGAATTTTTAAGACGTACTTATGTCCCAAGAGTGCCACAAGAACAAGATGCAGGTGGGAATACAGTTTATCCCCAAGGGGAACCTTTCCATCTGTGTCAATATACTGTGACACTGTGGTCAGATACATTTTGGTTTCATTTTCCTCTTTGTGTTTCTCTCCAAATCATCTACTACTTACATAAACGTCTTCTAGTTTTAGTGATCCTGTGACAAATTCACATATACATGTCTAAGGAACGCCTGATAAAAATCAAAAATAAATCTTGTTTTACTTGCTATGCCAAGCACGAACAGATCATGGGCTCAGAAACCGGCTTGAGAGAGAGTCCGGAGCAGGGAGAGCAGGCTCTCATACGCACCTGTGCTCTTTGGCACACGTGATCTGCTCTGACTTGGGCAGGACAGAAATTTAGAACTACTAATGTTCCAAAGACTAGCTTTTTTCCGGAGGGTCTTTTTGAAGAGTTACTTTTTTTTTTTCACTCTTCAAATTCTCAGAAAAACCAGGGCTGGGCAAGGGTGAATCCCAGAGCCAGGAAGTCTACCCCATGTGGGTGGGTGACAGGGACCCACCCACTCTTTAGCTCTCGATCCTCTTTCACTTTCCAGGGCGCACAACAGCAGGAAGCTGCTTTAGAAGTGGACGTGGAACTCAATCCCAGATACTCCAATAGGAGATGCATGTGTCCCAAGAGGTAGCTTAACCCCATTACAATGTCTACCCCAGGAATTATTTAAGAAAAAAAAAAAAAGTCTGTTACAAGTTCAACTTTGGGAAGTAGTGCATTATTCTTCAATTTTTTTTTTACCATATCCATTCAAGAATTCTAAACATTGAAATAAACTAATAGATTATATATAGAAAACATCTTCAACAACAAATTAGATTCTCAAATGGAACAGGATGTAAGCTTATTTATCTGATTATACTCAAATTATCTACTGGTTTGTTAGTAAGAGCCTTCCTGGATTATTTGGTTGTTTATACGCTGCCTGCTATCATTACCAGAAGTCTTTATGTAGGGACTGGCAACACTGCTGCTCATTATCTTAATCTCATAACCAATCCTACTTGGAGGAGTCAGGTGATGCTTTTCAGAACTGGATCGGGCAGCCTGGCTCTGAGGGCAACCTAAGGAACTACACAACACTTCAGCTTTTTTGGTAAGGCTCCCAGTGTGGAGAGCAGAAATGAATGTATGATGAGTTATTTACGATCCCTAATAAACAGGAGTGAAAGTCTGAACAGCTGGTATGGCTCCTTATATCTCTGTGATGGAATAAAAAAGCAAAGGATTAAAGCAGTACTAAGCATTACACATCTAATGTGAATCTGAGCCATAATGAAACAAAAATTCACATGACACTTTTGCTTTATCTGCTTTAACCCTGTTAGGGCACCTTGTAGATAGAATGTCACCAAGCAGGTCTGCAAAAAAAATAAATAAATAAAGTCAGGACTCATTTGTTTCTCTACAGTTTCAGGATGAAAATGTTCCCAAACAGCTAAGAGTACTTGATGAGCTAAATGCACGTGTAGGATTTAGCATCAGACAATAGCCTATCTGGCAACCTCGGCCAGTAATCAAACAATTACAGCCTGGAAAGTACAGCTTGTGCTAGCTAACACAGCCATTAGGTCAGGAGAGCTGTGGGCAGAGACATCCTGACACTGCAAGAATTACCAGAAAGCATTAATTTCAGCATTAATAAAATGGCAGTAAATAGATGACAGCTGCCAGATGAACTAAGAAATAAGGTTACTGGCCTTGTTAAGCTCACGTCTCATTTTCTCAGGCACAAACTGATCGAGGTAGCGTCTGAAGTGAAGCGCGTCGATGGCCACGATCTCAGTGTAGCGCCGCTGCCAGTCATCCCTGGGACGGGACAGAACAGGAAGGAACAGGAATAGCAAGCAGTCACTCAAACGAAACCTAGTAGGGTCAGCTGCTGAGACTGGGACGGCGCTGATGTGCTAGGAACAAACCCATCAACCGGGTCTACAGCTACAGCAGGGTGGAAAATCATTTTATTGCTAGGTTCAAGGCACAGACACTGTGTGCACTGTCAGGCAATAAACAGTGAGATGATAAATTATCAAGAGACAACACAGCATGACATATTGTAAACAGGCACATCATTTACAATGAATCTCAGAGGATAACGGATTTGGGGGGGGGGCAAACAAAGGGAATTTAGTTCTTTGTTTTCCTTTCACATTAAGATGTGGTGCCTTTCTATGTCAACACAAGCTCATTCCTTTGCTTTGAAGGAGCTGCTCTAAATCACAGGTTTTATAACATCACCAGATATTGGCCAGGAAATAATCCTAAGAAGTGTTAGAAGAAATGTACAATAATTCAATTGCTGACCCTGAGAAAACTTTGTAAAAAAGACAAAGACATCAGAGCATTGCTTGTGGAGGTAAGAAGGGCTAGCTGACATAATTTTAGAAACATGTAAAATCCCAAATATTTCATCTCTTTATAAATTTGACATATTGCTATGCTAAACAACTTTTCACACTGAAGAATAAGAACAGAAACCATCAGGTTAGTCCAGCAATCATTAATCAGGAACAGACATCCCATACTGGAAAGTGCTTGCTGCACCCACACATTTTAAACAAAACAAAGGGAAAGAAACCCGAGGCTGTCCTTGAGAGAAGATAAAGTTCATGGAATGGCTGCAGAAGTATCCGCTGTCCAACTCCATGGCTTTCTTATTATCAAAACTGAAACTTGCCCACAAGCATCAAGAGGCACAAAGAAATACATCTGGGAAATTGATACCAACCTAGTGAGGAAGCAAGGATGTCAAAATGTGAAAACCCATTTCCTGAAGGAGGGAGACAGCAGCACGGCACAGTGCTGGTTCTGCTGCGCCAGTGGTCTGTGGCACCAGACTGACTGTCCCAACATAGCTTTCTCTGTGTCTACTCAGACAAGTTCAGGGTAATGAAATCAGCTGGTCACAGGCTGTAAGCTCTACTTAACACATACTCAGAATCAGCAGGGCTTGGAAACTGACCAGCACTGCTTCCAGTCGACAGCTTAGACACACAACGGCACAGAATTCTGCCATCCTTGCTTTTGGCTTTTCATCTTCTCTGTTCTTCCATTTGGTATAGAGAAATCGTATTAATGTTCTAAATGCCAATGAGCTTGTGAGGCTAAGACTAAAAATAAACTTCAAATTGCAGATATGAGAGTGGTGGGGGAGAGCATGAATGGATGAGAGCGAAGCCCATGTTTGCTGAGTTTTAGCTTCGAGACACTGAAGTGTGAAACACTCACCGTTCACTCCCGTCCTCATGGCTCCGGGCCCAACGGTATGTTTCAGCGTAGCCTGTGTATTCACTGTACTGTTCAGTACCTTCAAAAAAAAAAAAAAAAAGAAGGGTCATTACTAACTTCAGCCTCAGCAGGGAAAAGTCCTGCTTAAGACCAGCACAAGGCAAAGACTGCCTCTCCATCACGTGTGCTCAGCCTGTCCTCAAAGTCCTGGGCAAGGCAATAGACAAGAAAAGAAATAGCAGGTATAGAATGTAAGAATCATTAAGACTTCCTACTATCAGATATCATAACTGTGTACATAGCAAGTCCTAAAAAAATGACAGTATGAGTAAAAAAAAAATCACAAATCAACTTAGTAAGCTAAAAAGTAGATTGGGGCTGGCATGGTGGCATAATAGGTTAATCTCTGCCTGCAGCGCTGGCATCACAAATGGGTGCTGTTCCACTTCCAATGCAGCTACCTGCCTGTGGTTTGGGAAAGCACTGAAGGATTGCCCAAGTCCTTGGAAGACTCCAAGACAACTCCTGGTCCCTGGCTTTAGACTGCCCCAGCTCTGGCCATGGCAGCCTTCTGGGGAGTGAAACAGGGACACAAGAGCTCTCTCTGCCTTTCCCATCTCTATCTGTAATTCTGACTTTCAAGTAAAGTAATATATATATATATATATTTTAAAAAGTGTGTTAGTATACTAGCTGCAAACAATGGGAAAAATCAAAACTTTTCAAGAATCCATTAATCATGTCAAAAATGTGAAATACCTATGAGCAAATGTAGCCAAGATCAGTCGATATTACTGAGAATAACTTGTAAAGACTTAAATAATGGAGAGACATACTGTGCTTTTGTAATAACAGAACACTCAATGTTGTTATACTGTGAATTTCTGATTTTTAGATTTTAATCCTAACGATAATCACAGCAGATAATTTGAAAAATTGGAATCGAGGGCTGGTGGGATGGCTGAATGCCTAAATCCTCACGTTCCTTATAAGCACCAGAATCCTATAAGGGTGCGGGTTTGTGTCCAATCCAGGTCCCTGCTCTTAGAGGATTGTCCAAGTCCTTGGGTCCCTACACCCATGTGGGAGACCTGGAAGAAACTCCTGGCTTCAGAGAGGCTCAGCTCTGGCTGTTGCAGCCATTTGGGGAGTACATCAGTGGATGTAAGATCTTTCTCTCTGTCTCTCCTCTCTGTAAACCTGATCCACGTTCCAAAAAAACCAAATAAGTCTTACAAAAAAATTGTCATCCAGATGGTGACTTTAAAATTCATATGGAAAGACAACCTATAAAGCATAAAACAAATTTTGAAATAGGGCAAATTGGAGGACTCAACAGCCCCAACACATACTTGATTTTCCAGAAAAGTACTATTAAGAATCCATGGGGGAAACAATATTATTGCTGGAATAAGCAGGTATTCATAGGAAAAAAAAAAAAACCTATAAATCTCTACTGTGAGTCATCGTATCAGTAGCATTATGAGTAACAATTATTTTGAGATGGATTGCGGACATAAACAACGTAAGAATTCAGAACAAAAGACAAAATAGCTTTATCACATTGGGAGCAGGGAAAATGTCATAGACTGGATAAAGAAAGTGATGACCACAAAATTACAACAATAAATCCTAAACAAAAACAAGAGTAGGTCAAAATCACAACATTTTAGGTCAGTGTGAACCATCTTCAGGCAAGACTGGAAGAAAAATAACACTGGACACTATAACACTGGAAAGAATAACACTGGGAGATAAACAACGACCTCATAAAAGAACTGCATTTAAAGTATTTGAAGAACGCTCACAATAAAAACAATACAATTTAGAAAAGTGGGTATGACTTGAACATAAATTTCACACAGGAAGCTTCGCAATTGGCTAACAATCATGACATCAGAGAAATGCAAATTAAAGCCAGCATATCACTAAAGAACCAAAAGAATGCATGCATGGAGTTTTGGTAATACATTTCCATGAACTCCTTGGGAGCTGGCCAGGCTGGACCTCTCAGATGGACTGAAGCTGCTGACCATAGGATGCATTTCTATTCCTTCACCTCAGCTCTGCTCCTAAGGTCTTGCAACAGATCACAGCAGGAACTCGCGGATTTACGCTCAGAGTCTCTGTTATCTAATGTGAGGACCTGAAACAGTGGCACCCAGTGTGTGCGACCGAGGAACTGGACGCTACTCAAGTTAGGCAAGCTGACACATAAAAAAAGCTCATCACCAGCCTAAAAACACAGAAACAATCAGAATAGTCATCAATAGGAAATTAGCAAAACATGTACCATGGTCATCCAAAGGAATTGGATCATCCAAAAGAATGGTGTTGCTGATCCACCCAAAACACAGGCGAATCTCCCACTAGGCTGGGCAAAAGCAGCAAGTCACAGAAGAATCCACACTACAGAAATGTTCTGCTAATGAAGAAACCGGAAGGACCTCACCTATACTGAGACATTACAAGTACTATTTAGAGCACTCAGTAGGATTCCTACCAAAAAGCATCACCTGAATTTAATTAGGAAACACTGGGGAACCCAGATGAGGACAAGCCACAGGTAACTGGGTTGCATACTTTGTAAGTAACAGACAGGATGAAAAGATTTCAAAGTAAGGCTGAAAATGGTTGTGGCTTAAAGGACACCTGATTGCAACTGTAAGAGCCTGGATGGCTGAAGACTGCCGGAAACCAAGCTGGAGAGGAATATACTGCAATGACTGATGGAATTAGAATGCAGACTAGGGTGAGGTGACAACAATATATCCATGACAAATGTTCTGATTTGGGTAAATATTTTGGGACGGCCATGGGACTTCTAACACACTCTCCCAACAGTTTAGGAAAAGAAAATGGAAAGACTGAGGAAGCCAATGAGCCCAAAAGGTAAACTGGTGAATGGGCAAAGGCAATATGGAAAGCCCATGTTAGTTTTTCAATTTTTCTCTAAATCTAAAATTTATTACACACACACACATACATGGTACATATCCAAATACATACAAAGATACTTTAAAGAGCTCAAGGAAAATGGAATTCAAAGATTTGTTTTGGCACATTTTTTTTCCATTCACGCAGTTTTAGTATGCACATCAGGAACATTCCAAAGACTCCTCATATAACATATAAAGCTGTAAAAACTCTTAAAAGTTTATATATATGATTAAAACGTCCATTTAAAATTCAGTGTTTTCCATACTGGCAAACCAGGGTAGGGGGCAGGCCTGGTGGGGGTTATTGTGGGTCGCTCCAACTAGGCTGCAGCTCCCACTGGGTTAGCGAGGGCCGAGTATGTGCTGGGCAGCACCAGGCTGGACTGCAACACTCATTGGTTCCACTGGAAGTCAGGAGTGAAAACAGAACCAACCCAGCAATTGCAACCACCAGCTGATCGGGGCGGTAGACGGTGCCAGGCCCTATACTTGCTAGCACATACAAGAATCAGGTCTGAGAACACCTCAGACAGTTTCTTTGGAGATCTCCCCAATCAAAATGCTGGACTCAGAACCCTAACCAAGAAAAGAGAGAAGACAGAACAGGTCAACCAACCATCTCAGCTATATCTTGGCAGCGAAATACGAGGCAAACAGAGACTCTATGATGGACTATGTCAATCAGTGGAATCCTCAAGGACCTCGTAGTGCTTGCAGTGTCAAGATTGGCAGTGATTCATAACTGTTGAAATATCAAAACCACTTGAGCAAGAACCTCAGAGCATACCCTACATCCGGGACCTGGGGAGGGTGGGAAATTGGGTGTCCCTTCTCCCTTAATACCCTCCTTTAAACATGAAGGAAACAATATGGAAAAAAATAAAATAAAATTCAGTGTTTTCATTTTATTATTTTGTATGCTCATCTTTCAAAATAATCTATCTTTAATTCCCGTAGAATTTTGGGAAGACACTCATGCCATTATCAAGAAAAGTGAGATCCAGATGCCACTGTTTCTCGTGGGAAGCCCTCCTGGACACTCAGTGGAGCGGCTTGGTCACTGCTCTGTGCTTCCGGGTGTTTTACACACAGTGTCACTAGAGCTCTCCCTAGTCTACAGAATCTGAAACTCAACTGTATATATCCTCAAGCAACAATAATCAAAGACAGGTTTTTTTTTTTAATGTTACAATAACTAAAAACTACAAGTACTTAGGAGTACACCTGACAAAAACATGAAGAAGCATGCCATGAAAATTATAAAATAGTAATGAGAAAAAGAATCTAACCAATCTTTTAAAGCTGATATTTTTAAAAGCAAATGTAATCTGGCTCCCTCTCTAGACCGTAAATTGCTTAAGGACCAGAATTAGAGGTTAATTAGACTCTCCTGCAAAGGAGCAAAAGCCTTTGCCAAACTCAGAGTTAACTGAGGAATACATCAAGACACTATAAAAAGGCCAAATATGAGTCATAGGAGTCCCAGAAGGAGCAGATTAAAAGAAGCTGGGATTAAAGGTGTATTCAATGAAATAATAAGGGAAACTTTTCCTAATCTAGAGAAAGAATTGGGAAACTACATCCAAGAGGGGCACAGAACTCCCAACAGGGTTGACCAAAAGCGATCTTCACCACGACACATGATAATCAAGCTCTCTTCAATTAAACATAAGGAAAAGATCCTTAAATGTTTATGTGAAAAAAAAAAAAAATCAATGGACATATGGAGGAATGGTAATCAGACTCCCAGAAGACCTCTCCCAGGAAACTCTACAGGCCAGAAGAGAATAGAGAGACATAGTCCAGGTTCTAAAGGCAAAAAAATTGTCAGCCCAGGATGACGAACCCAGCAAAGCTTTATCATATCTTTGACAATGAGATAAAATTCTTCCACAGTAAAAAAGAATATGCCTCTTCCAAACCTGCCCTACAAAGGACCCTTAAAGATGTTCTCTTGATAGAGAAGAGGAATAGTACCTATCAAAATCAAAGGCAAATGTGAAGAACATCCCAGCAAAGTAACAACAGAAGACTAAATCAATGAACAACCCATTGCTAAAATGAAAGGACCAAATTGCCACCCATTCATATTAACCTTGAATCTAAATGGTTTAAACTCAACAATTAAACATCATAGATC